ATTCTCCATTTCTCAGTCATTCAAATTATTCCTCTAAATTTATAAAAACTCCATTCTCCATTTCTCAGTCATTCAAATTATTCCTCTAAATTTATAAAAACTCTTAAAAAATTGAAAAGTATTCGAAAATGTTGGAAGAAATTAAGTAAGTAAAAATTAAGAAGTAAAAATATTTAACGAAACGTTAATAAACAATTGATAATAAAAAAAAAAGAAAGAAAAAATTAAATCGTTCGATATAACTGCTTACCAAAGAAACAAATCGCGTGTACACAATCTGTTTCCTGTTTCAAATCTGATAAAATTGACTCTACATACTTGATAAGCTGGCTTATGTCGGCCGGAATTTTCTCGATTTTATTGTCCGAGAGATTGAGGTAGGTCAACCCTGTGAGCTCCAATAACTCTCGTGGTATCCTCCTCAACTCGTTGCTCTCCAAATGAACGATGCGAAGTTTTGGAAACCTTTGAGAAAGAAATTTAATTAATTTGATCGTGTTCGCGCGATTATAACGTAACTTTCTATTAACGAATACAATTGTATTAATGAAAATTTCGATGAAGATTTTCGCGTGAAACATAATTAATAAGGATGAATTCACGGTGAAAGTAAATGTTTTCGTACCTGTGCAACAATGTCAGGTTGTTGTTCGTGTTCGTTAGTTGGTTTTGGCTTAATATCAGCTCTTCTATCGCCGGAAATGCTATAGCGCTGTCGGGGATCCTTGACAGGCCCCCGTTGCTCAGATCCAACTGTTTCGGGCACGATGACAATTGTATAGCCTGCAACAATGCAACGCGTTTTCAACATCCACAAAGTGATTGGAAATTGATCAAAATTTTATCATCATCGATCTATTGTTGCTAATCTCTTATTGCTATTCTTTCGTATCAATAACTGTTTCATACTTTTTTTCAAGAATTAAAATTGTTATTAGACTGTTGTAAAATTTATTCAGACGTCTATTTTTCTTAAAACTTGTTCTTTATGTATTATACATCTTTTTTCTTAATCTAGGGGTTTTTTAATACACATGATTATATAGTAAAATTTTCTCAGATGTCTATTTTTCTTAAAACTTGTTCTTCACGTATTATACATCTTTTTTTCTTAATCTAGAGTTTTTCAATGGTTATATAGTAAAATTTTCTCAGATGATTTATTTTTCTTAAAACTTGTTCTTCACGTATTATACACTTTTTTTTCTTAATCTAGAGTTTTTTCAATGGTTATATAGTAAAATTTTCTTAAATGATTTATTTTTCTTAAAACTTGTTCTTTACATATTATACAACTCTTTTTCTTAATCTAGGGATTTTTAATACAAATGGTAATATAATAAAATTTTCTCAGATTTCTATTTTTCTGAAAACTTAAATTCGTAACTATTATTCTACTACCCCTTTTTCTTAATCTTTTTCAATACACGTGATTATAAGTAGCGAAAATTCTCGTTGTAAGAAAAAGAACTATTGAAACGCCCTGTTGAATATTTTGTTGAATCGAAGTACGAAGCAAATAAGTTCCATTACCTCGGACTCGAGAGAGTCCGTGTCGATGGCGTCCCTGTCAAAGTCACGTTCCTCCATAATGGCGACCAAATCCCCGAGATACACCATTTTTCGCATATTCTCTCCAATTTCTATGATAATTATCGATCGTGGAACAGGAGAGCTTCGGTATCCAATCTCAAATCGCGAAATATTTTTCTCGTCACGCGATCATCGATTCCATTTCAATTTGTCCACGCGAAAAAAAAAATCGTGCCACGTTTTCTTTTAACGGTTCTTCTTCTTCTTCTTCTTTTTTTTTTTCATCGGGAGAAACCAAGTCGATGTTTATTTCGTCTAAAACTTTCGTGAAATCCGATGAAAAAAGTTATAAACCCAAAGGGAAGGAAAGATTTTTCCTGTATTTTTGTTTTTTGTATTCTTTTTGTAAGGGAAGATGTAAAAATCGAAATTTTCCAATTTATATTTTCCTAACCATATCAAATATTCTATCAAACATCAGTATATACATTTCTAATCAAATATCATCGATTCTATGAATATGAATTAAGTTTTAAAAATAGAAACGGAGTGACGTGCGAATAATTTTAAAATTCTTAACATCGCATATTCCTACGTCAATGGAATAATAGATCGTTCGAATTGCGATTGATATTGATATCCTATGACAAACTTGGCGCTATAAATGTATCATAAATTTCGTCAT